ACACACACACACACACACACACACACACACACACACTACACTACACTCTATCAGACTCTACCAGGCACAAAAGACTCAGCAGAGGAAGAGCTTGGAGCTGCAGAAGGGGGCAATAACTGTGGATTATGAGCAACAAAACTTATCAGTGTGCACTGCCCACATCCTGGGCTCCCTCTCCTGGAACTCGGTGCCACTGTGCATACTGCTGGGGCTATTGAGAATCCAAGGAAAGAAGGAAGCCAAGGTGGGCTAAGGTGGATATCAGGTGCCAGAACTTCACAGGCTGGGCGCTATTTTGACTTCTCTGAACTTTGAGCTTCCTAATCTTACTGGCTTCATTGAAAGAAATGGATGTTTGTCTATTGATTGTATGGAAGTTAACTTGTGAAATCATTCTAAACACAATGAACGCGGGAAGGCAATTGCAGCCATTTAGTCTTGGAAACCCTGGACTCAACAACCCATTTTCATCTCTCCCCTTCCTCCACAGGTCGTCTCTCCAACCCCCACAGCCATGACTCTCACTCCAGTGCCACTGGAGGACGCCACTGCCCGCCCTGAATTCTGCAAGTGGCCATGTGAGTGTCCGCAATCCCCACCTCACTGCCCGCTGGGTGTGAGCCTTATCACAGATGGCTGTGAGTGCTGTAAGATATGTGCCCAGCAGCTCGGGGACAACTGTACAGAGGCTGCCATCTGTGACCCACACCGGGGTCTCTACTGCGATTACAGTGGGGACCGGCCGAGGTACGCAATAGGAGTGTGTGCACGTAAGTGAGACCCCCCATATCTTCCAACTGCCCCCACACCCCAGCTCCAGCCCACGAACACCCACAGCCCTTCCCTTGGCCAGTCCAGTTAGAAGCCACAGGATGGGTCATCCTGGGGAGAGAGCAATAACTGCATTATTCTTGTTCCTGAGATCCCATTGTGTCTTGCTTTCTTCCTATTAGACACATTTTTCCCTGAGGAAAGGAAATTCTGCCAAGAAATACCCAAGCCTGGTTCCGTTCTCTCGGTAGATACAACTCTTCAATAGATAACACTGAATCACTGCCATACTTCAGATATGTTAATGATTTTTTAAATTAAAATGTTTAATAATATGCATAAGAAAATCCAGTGACCAGGAAATAATGAAAACTGCAGGCACCATTTCCTGGTAGCCACCCCTTTCCAGTCACCACCATTACTTTTAACTTGCTAGCCCTCTATTTTTCTAGTTATCACTACGTAGCAATGTCTTCTGCTATATCTTGATTGGTTTGCTACACTAATTTTGGATCATTTATTAATTTCCCTACATGGTAGTTGATGGCTTAGCTCCCCGATGCTATCAGATACCTTTGTCATCTTCCAAACGTCCATTCTGATTTTTGGCTATATAATCAGGACTATTTTTTTATGTTCTGACTATGTTCGCTGGAACCTAAGTAGTATACGTGTTTGAATTCTGCCTTTTCATAGTGCCTTCTGCTCTTCCTGGGGATTCTAGCTGCCCTTGTTTTTCTTTGATTTTGGCGTGCATAGTATCCTTGTGTTTGGAAGAAAACTGTTGTTTATTCTTCATGTGCTCCATCCCGTGTCCCCTGTCCTCGACACTGTTCCTGGAGACCGTGTTTCTAGACTTCATGCTCCTCTCTGGATGCCTGTGTCCTTAGTCTGAAATCTCTGAGCATTGCTTGCCAAATGACGCAAGCCAGCACGATAATGAACAAAAGCCCGACACACATGAAACGTTTCTCAACGTATCATAGATACAGGAACTCTTCTCCCATTAGTACTGAATCAAGACTCCTCCGTAACTATTAGTCCACTTTCTGTTCATACGCAGTACAGTCCCTCATCTGTACCGTACACCTTAGATCCCTGTTTGGGTTGTTGATAAGGGCTGTGCACACAACCCAAGTCACTAAACCCTGTCTGTGCCTCTTGGTTCCTCTGTAGCTCTTTTCTTTCTTGTCTTCTCTCTCTCTCTCTCTCTCTCTCTCTCTCTCT